CTGCAATGCAATGGTGGAAGTATTGTTTTATTCGCTCTGAGTTTGAAAATTGTTCCAGGTAAAGAGAAATGGTCAGCGATGTCACTACGTGGACCACAGGACGCGCAGTGGTCAGAAATGGACAAAGCACTAGCCGTGTCTGATGTCGACGGTACTCCAGTCTATTTTATCGCACCGCAACAATTCACTGGAGATCAGCGTGCCTCTTATAATCAAGATCTTTGGTTTACACTTCGCGTGCAGCAAGGTCAAATACAACCAAGCGTCAGGTATCTATCTATTTCCTCAGATTCATTTTATCGTACTGAATGAGCATGGACTAAACATTGCATCCGCTGCAGTTGTATTTTCACAAATTGAATGTTGTCAAATTATCGAATGTTCTCACAGTGAGTAAATATTTCATTACACTCGAAAGAATGAGGCAATTGAAAAATGCACAGTGTAAACAAATGGAACTAGTTTACTATCTCAGAAGTTTTTTAGAGAGAATATGGGATAGCACTACTACTCATTTACGAGTTTCTGATTATGGGGATAGTCTGAAATTAATAATCGCCATGCGATGATCGAGAAGGAATAGTATTTGTAATAAATTCGATACAGATGTTACAGTGATAGCGATAACCCTGACTGTCCATGTCCCAGGTAAATCATTTCTTATTATCATTATCAGCAGCCAAGCTCGCACTCATCTCATTGCGCTTGATCACTTCTCATTACCGCGATATTTCACTGCATTCTATTATTCTCTGAATTATATTATAGGACAGATGATACCATTATATGATATCTTGAACTGCCAATTTTATCGCTTCAGCAATTTATCTTCATTTCTAAGCACTTTATCTTCAGCACTCTTCTTTGCCAGTACGTCTATCTAACGCCAACATTCGATGATGGTCTTTGCTCATTCTATTGGTTAGCAGCTGAATAAATCTCATTCTCAGCTTGTCGCCTGATGAACCATTTTTGTATTGACCAATTTGATCATTCAAGTTATCAATTATCACAACTGAATTTATTCATGAGATAATCAAGTCTGTCTCTAAGCTGTTATATTATGCGTCATCCAAGAATAGTCGTGATTACTTAGCGATACTGATCCATCCGTTCATCCAGAACCACTGCTTTAGCAGGCTGATACGTCGATCCTTCGTGCTCTCATNCCTCACTGTTTTCAATATTTCATCGCTGCATAAATCTCCCAACTGCTTCTTCTGATTATGAGTGGCTTCTTCTGATACTTCCAATTATTCGCACATTTTCACGGGAGTGTTGCTTTTTTACCTTTGGTTCACGGGTTTTTTGGTATTGGAGTGGACTCTGCCCAGGCAGAGATCTACGGTGGAGGTTTTTAATTTTATTCGATTGCATTGCTTTTTTGCTCATCAAAGAAAAGAGTCATAACTTTTTGGATGTGAAGTTATGATTCTTATGCGGTTTCAATTGATTAAGCTTGTCAAAAGAATCAATCGTGCTTTCACAAGGTGATCCATTTCAATGATCTTCTATGTGATCAGCCAGTATTATCGCATCGCTAGCTAGCTTTGCTCCAATCTGTTGAACGTTTGAAAAAGCGAACTGCCCGAGCAATTGCAATGCTGCATATTGAATTGATTGCTGCGATTCGGACGAAAACCTCTGATGTTCAATGAAATAAAGCCATCGGCATTTCAGGGATGTTGTAATCGTTGGTGCAGATGGTCAAGAGCTTTCGCTGCCGATCTTCGCGCAAGACAACCCAACACCCAACTCGAATGAACAACACTATCGATTTCGTATCCACGCCAATCCAATCTTCCAATGGAGTCCACGACTCAATGAACTCGATTTCATCGGTGTACTATCGAATGTCAGCGCTATCAAAATTCGAGGCACTTACTCAAACGGAGGTGATGCTTATTGTTATTGTTGTTAAATCTCCTTAAATTGATTGGCTAGATGAAGTCAAAAATTCTTCTCATATCCTCTCCATTGAATTTGATGGATCGATGAGAAAAACACAAGAGACAGAAGCAAACGTTCAGTCGTTATCCATATTGAAACTCAAATTTTACAGTGCTCAGAGCGAGCGATGAATTCTGAGCGTTCCTCAAAGCAAAACCCACCTATCTGTTCGTGTTTTTCAAGTCTATCGCTAGCCCATTTGTTCAAAATGTTAAGCGGATGGAGAAATTCCGTTGTGCAATATTGAAAAAATACATGAAATAATGATTTTATGTTCAGATGTTGGCTTTTTGAGTAATGTGCATTTGGGTACGGCGAGTTTGGCGGTTTCGGGCGATAATCCGAAGGAAGCGAAATGGGTCGAATCTTGCAGTTGTTTGGAGGGCTTCGTCGGTCAATTCTGTGAGTCATGTGCGCCTGGCTACAAGCGTGAACTGAAATACGGTGGACCGTTCAATAGATGCATTAAATGTGACTGCCATGGACATTCCGAATCATGCGACGCCGAATCAGGTCAGTCTCCAGCTCAACTCTCATATTTAGATGTCTTTGTTAGAGAAATTGAGTGATGCAATGATTTCTATTAACCCAGTGGTTCTCACAGGGGTGAAATTACTCATTTTGGGTAATATGGAGGTGTCGAGGCGTAATGGAGGGTTGGTGCAGGCCTAACAGGGTTTTGATTCGTTTTAACAGGATTTTCATTCTTTTCTAGGCTGTTATAATCGCTCTCA